AGGTTCTAATTAATCTAGTTCAGTCAATAAAACGACGCTGTGTAATAGAAAAATGGTAAACATATTCTCTACTAAATTTCATATGAACGAAAGCTTAACTTTGGAAGTTTTAAACAAGCTATGATATGTGATGCGGATATATTATCACGATCAGCAATCACTTTTGGGCAAAATTATTTGTTGTGACTACCGGTTGTAATTGTATATTTACACGAACTTCGTTGAATTATGTATTTTATTTCTAATCAACTATTACGAACTTGGGATGACATTAAATATGTAATTTAGGTAATGTGGTTAGGTTATGAATTGAGCAGTTTGTTACTAGCAAAGACGTTTCCTATCCGAATTAACGCCGTCTTCATTAATCAAGATGCAAAATCAAAACAATTATTATACATTACTAAATAATTATTAAACTCAAACGTGCAAGTTCGTTAGTTATCGAGCCGAAAGCAATAAAATATAGTAAACTTTTTATTTTGTTTTTCTTAATTTATTTTATATTAATCGTAATCTCAGCATACGAAATGACTAACCATATCCAAAATTTTATTTTTACCATATCGACCTATTATCTATTGGTCCCTCGTTCATTTGTCATAGGCAAAGCCCTTCATTCCTTCCATTTTTCAGTTGCTGCATGGCTCAATCCGGCCATTTTATGCTTTTTATTACTCAAACCCGATTCCTTAAACACTTGCTTAGCATCTTTCCGCAAATCTTCTTGACGAAACACTAAATAAATATCGATATTAGTATGGTTATATATATCAGACTGACTCTAAAAATAATTTGTTAGAACTCACAAAGTCTATCCGCAAAGTGATGATTAGTATCGCGGTGAGTTGCTTCGTCGGCACGAACAGCCAACACGACGTCTCGTAACGTGGCTGTATTGCGATCCAAATTCCAGTAATCGATAGCAAGGTCTGGTATTTTGTTCGTGTTCTCGATATGACCATTGTCGATTTCGTTCAAAAAGGAGGTGTAGCTGACGATGGCCTCTTCTTCAAGATAACCGACCATTCGATGAGCTGTCTTCGGACTAGCCAAATACAACGCGAAGAAACAATTGTAAAACACCCCTTGAACAACAGCAATCAATGCGCGCTCCCATAAGTTAGGCCGAGATATTGCCATCCACGTCATCAAATGCATTCTGCAAGAGCAACAGAATCAAAGGTAGTAATACGTGCATTGTATTTTTCGACAAGTTCCGTTCATTAAGAAAGGAATATTCACTCGTACCTTTCATTTTCTGCTTCGTGAAGCAAATGGTCAATCCACCCACCATCGTGTTTCAATTTTCTTAATGATCGTAGATGACGAACTGTGCCAGCAACCATTCCAGGAACAGCAGCAACCTTAAAACGTTTACCGTTTTTAATACTAATTACAATCTCTTTTTTTTTTCTTGTCGATTTGCCCAATTACTCACCGTCTCCAACATAACCGCTCGATGTATGTACTTTTTTTTGAAGAACCAATCGGTGGGTTTCCTTAACAGTTTAACTGTCACAAAAGCAATCTTGTCAGACCAGCCGACAGGTTCACGATGTCGATTGATGTCGATATCCCAATTTTCCAGGTCATTTGTGGTCAATGGCTTGGTCGACTCTAGAATCTCATGGCGAACTGGTTTCGGGTCATTCATTGTATATAAGAGATCAATAGGTATATTGCCTATGCGATTATTGGAAGTATCGCTATTTTTGGCTGACGACGTGGTGGTATTCCCTGCTGATGCTGTTTGTGTTTGTTTTGAATCTGAAATAAACCGGATAGATGACCCACGTATCAGGATCTGGGAATGCAATGAAGCAGCACTGCTTCTTCTCAAAAGAAATGAACAGTTATGAACGATCGAACGAAACATTTTAAGTTGATGGCTAAAAGTGCGTTGCTAAATTCTACATATTAAAGAAATTCTCCTTTTTAATATAATTGTCATTATTTTTAGACCCTACCTGTCCGGCCCGATCCGCTCCGGTAAGTTAAATCATAATCCAATCAACTTTGAATACAGTCATGACATCACAATATGACTTATCGACGTTGGTTACACAAATTCCGCACATTCAGATTACAAATCGAAAATAACACGAGCGACCTCTAACCGCCGCATGATTGTCCCGAATAATCAGTTATCATTATTGAGTCACCCAGCCCTAAAACGGGTTAGTATTGGGTTTGCCCCTTATATGTAGACCTTATGCTCTGTGCTATTCTAATAATTACAATATTCTTTCCTATAACGTCGATGCTATATGAAAATTCTGACGATTGAAAGTACAGTAGTGTCTTGCGATAAAACACACTCTGGCTGCTTATAATAAACAGGTGTTTGCATTACAAATACTGATACATTTACAGCAAATTATTGGCTGAATCGTTACGACTTCAAATTGAATTTAACCCAGTATAAATAATGATCTCCTTTGCATAAGAATTAAGCTTATCAATAAAGTTTATTGAATGTAACCAACAATTTCCTCAGCGCGGTTCTTCAAGAGCCTAGATTCAGGCATGGAAAAGTATGTGTCAAATAAATCTTGCAGAGTGTGCGATCGAAAACCAATTATCATATTCGATGGAACTATCACATATTCGAAAATCTAAAAAACAATGGTTTTTAACATAAAAGGTGTGATAATCCCTGGCTGAATTGCACTCACGTGTATCAGACTTTGTATCAACAGCGCAGTTGTACCAGTAACAAGAGAACAGTGTTCCGAATAATGTCACGCGCACAGTATTGACAACTACACAACACTATGTTTATGTTCTGTATTAAAACTACGAAGTAGTTATGTTATTATATGATAGTTTAAATTATGCAATTGCAGTGACTCATATATTAATATGGACATTTTTGTCTCTAGTTATAAGGAATTTTACAAATTGAACAAAATTTTTCTTTATAGTACAGCGTTTTTGCAATTAATCAACAAAATAAATAGTTAGAGAACGACTGCAATATCTATTTTTGAAATTGCATCATTGCTCTAGTAATATTGTTGAGAACATTATCTATAATGATATCTGCTTAGTGAACTTATTCGAATGAAATTGATTACACTTATTTTGTTGTAAAATGTTTCAAAACTGCTCAATTGCCTCATTCTTCGGTTACTTCGGAAATTCTTCTTCCGCGTTATTTCCAACCTTATTTTTATAAACGATTTCCTGGTCAGTTTTTCTATTCAGCAAAATTTTGTCATTAGCAGATAATATTGTCGCGTTTTTCTAACAATAAATCGATGCAATCCTGTACTTAACTTTTTTTTTGCAGGACGTTTCTCTCGAGTTTTGATAAAAATAATATCCAGATCATTATTAGATGGCGGAACAGTCTTAATCTAGTAGGTTTTCATCACAAGCGGATGCTGTCATATGAATCGCATTCAACATTGCAGAGTCTTGAAGATTTCTATTCTTACCAACACGTGGACTCGGTTTTCACAAATTAGCCCCAAACGCCTTTGATGGTATAATTAAGCTTAATATTACTATTAAGCGTATGGTATATATTATTCCCTACCACAAAACTATAAATTATTCCTGTATCATGGTTGAAAATGAGCTGCTGTATTTACTGGTTGAAGGTTTACTATTACGTAAAGAAGACATTATCGAAGAGTTGACAGATCGCAGCAAGTAACTCTAATCGGATTATTATTTATTACCATCCATATAATTACAGTACTATAATGACAATTGCACTTCGAACAAAATGAATCGCTGATGTAGATAGAATTTTATCTTGCGCCAAGAATCGAGAATGGAATATTCACCGTTAAAGAGTAATTTGTAAGCGTAACTTTTGTAAGTATTGATCAGCCCTTTCGCTCATCTCTATGCGGCTCACTTTTTTAATGACCTCTTCCGGTTGAATTTCCAATATCCCGATGGCTATTTTTAGTAAATTCAGGGCCGAGGAAACCGCCAAGCGTATAATAATAAGTAACTCACATGATGTTTAATTGTCCAATCACACGGTACGTTCGGATTTGGCAAGATATCCGACACTTCGGCTGAACCCCCGTCGGCTAATACCGCAAATTAGCGTCATATATCGTATGCATTATTGACATGGTAAACAAACATAGAAATTATGTTACGTTTTTTCGATCTTTTACTTGACTCATCTCTCTTAATCGGCACTTTCTTCTCTATTCTCCTTGAACTGGCTGCTGTTTGACTTCTTTAAACATTCTATTTCATCCGAATATCTTATTACTCAATTATGGAATTTGTAACACTGAGCGTGATACCTATTTCACATATGTAGAACCAATGTTCCTCGACGTATTATTAATAATAGAAGGATTTATATTTAAGAATGGGTTTGATTCGAACGTCACTCGCATCTTGTTTGCTCTAATGGCCGATCGAGAATTGCCTTCACAGACTCGATTTCTGTATCCCATGGTTGTGCCTTATTCACATGTGTTACGTAAGTCATACACAATAACAAACTGGAATATCCTTCAGCCCTCGAGACGCCAGCAATATACCCTTCAAAGGGATTACAGATTGTACAAGTAGGAAAAATCTTAGATCAAAAGTGTTATTGACATATCCCATTTTGGCCTCGAAAAGCCATTCAGTGATAAATAAGTTCTGGTAAAAAATATTTCCGTAATCTGCAATGCTATCTTTTTTGGTGATAATGCGTAGTATGAGAATGGTTCGGACTATTTCATGGGGTATAATAAGCTCAGAATTCATCGAATCTTCTGATGTGAGCAGGTCCCACAGAATACTGTTTGTATGCATCCGAACATAAAGACCTGAAAGATGTACTGTACCACACAGGCCTTTCTTTACTAATTAGGCTCGACTAAAAGAAGTCAAAACAGAATAAAAAAGAGCTTTATGCACGACTAACAAGCAATCGAGCAATAGAGGGGTTTATCGAAACAAATCGTAAAGTCATCGTTAACCTTATAAAACATAGAAGCTCGCTTTTTTTTTCCTTCATCGTCTCGTTGATCATGAACCCTCAAAACCTATTCGCTCAACAACGCACATCACATTTCGTAAACGAGCAAGAGATAAACGCAGCGTCACACGGACGACGACTCACCGTGCAAGAGCTACTCACCGACACCGTTCATAACTTAAATAACGTTAATAGCGGCAACATAAATGTCTCTCCTACGCATGACCAACAGCACAACCATCATTCATCATGTCCTCCGCCAACTCCACAAATACACGATATAAACACCATTCACGAACATAATAATCATTTATTATCGGCGCGAGCTGTAGATTCAGCAAGCACTTTACCATATTTTCGACCTTTAGGCGACTTCGATAATAGAAATGGATACTCAAAACTGTTACCTCGTCCGACGCCACCTTCTAACGATGAACTAGAAGGCGGCGGAAGTTATGAGAGTAACATCAACCCTAATTATGTAAACTACAACATAAATATTTCTACTCATAATACGCATACACTATCACCAACTTCACCACCACTATATGCCGTTATGCCTCCAACTTCTCCCGCTACTCCTATATCTCCTAACCAGCAGACTCATGCAACAATCCCATTATCAGAACAGCGTGAACGGAACAAGATAGCCTCTGCCAAATATCGTAAAAAGAAACAATTGATGAATCAAGAAATGTCTGCTCGGATAAACGAGATGAATTCTAAAATAAGCTCGTTGGAAACCGAAAATACAATGTTGCGGCGGCAATTGGAGGAAGTAAAGGGGGAAAATCAAGAATTAAGAAACACTATCGATAAGCTAAAAAATAAGCTAGCCAAGGATAAGATATTCAAAAGATTGGAAAGGGTTTCGGCGACATCAGGGAAAATTCGAAAGGGAGCTGGCGTAAGCGTTGTTATGGCAAGGAAAGGATAAGGGAACAAAACGATAACGTGATAAACTCGGATCTAAGGCAATATAGCAATGAGGACTATGCTTAGTGTAAATTATTGATTATAAATAAATGTATTCGAGTATAAAAATTTGCGTGGATTTGTGAAGAATTGCCCGTTCAAATTTTATTTCGTTTTCTTATGGCCTCGGAAGCAAACTCGCTTGCAAGTATTTGTTGTTCGTTTCATGTATCCCGATAGTGAATCATATTTAGTCGGTCCCGCAGACAACGTTATGGATAAATCTTTGAGGTATCTACATTGTAATTTTTTCATTAATTAATACCAATTTCCAATTTCTAAGAAACTCTTTTGTTATTCGCGGTAGGAGAATCATTGTCGATGTTTATAGTATTGCAATCCTTTCAGACAACCACTTTACTTTGGGTCTTTGTCAAGTGATTGAGCAAGGCGGCTTTGTTACGGACAATCTCTTCGGGTATGAATTGTTTGGAAGGATTTTCGTAAATCTTTCTGGGCGCATGAATGAATCCTTGTTTGTAAGGGGAAAAAGATCTGAAATCTTTTTTCGTTACAAAGTCGGCAGTCGGAATTGCCGAAGGTTTGAAATAGTCTAAAAATCCCAGAACTGATTTGGAAACGATTGGTGAAAAAAAAAAGGGACAATTTAAAATTCATTATCTTGTAGTTTACAAAGCTACAAGGACAATGAAAATGGTGATATTGGGTTACACTGTATAATTACATATCAAACCGTCATTGTCCACATTAACAATAAGATTGAATATTATAATTAATAGTCAGCTGTTACAATACTTAAACTTTTGACAGGGGTTCGATAAATTAGGTCTTTCGATTTGTGTCACCGAGTCACAAGATCGACTTGTTAAACAAAAAAAAAGTCAATCGATTGTACTTTTTGCTCCTTATCTCATTATACGCATTACAAAGTTGGAAAATAGCAATACGTACAACAATTGTTTGTCTTTATCATTTTTCTGCGGGTCGAACGATTCCTCTTTTCACACGGAATTAGAGACGGTGGTTCTATGATTCCTGCTGGCAAACATGTTATAAAAGTTTTTATCGATACCGTGTTGCTTGCGGCATAAAGCTTCCCTATTGGGAGGAGCAACAAGATTTACGGGAACTATATGAAATCCATGACAATCTCTGTTTCCATTGCTGTAACCGGTTAATAAATTCTGAATGAATGTTTGGCCATTGAATTAGACGGGCGGGTTTAATCTCTATTTAGGTTCACTTATTCCTCAAATCAGATTATTTCGCCGCGTTTATATTAAGCTTTTTATACTATGATAATCAGTTCCGACAATTTAACGTCATGCGATTAAAATTTGATGCTCAATGGCGTAATTTATTCGGATTATTATTGGTAGTCACCGATTGTACGAGTTACGATCCCTGAAACATGTATAGAAATCACGTGCTTTTAGAGAATTTGACTAAACTTTTATGCGAACGCGGTGACATAAGATTATACCAGCATTTCTGTTTGAAGCAAGGCCTCTGTCTATTAAACGGACAAGCACTTTGGCGTATATGGATGTAATACATCAAGTAACTGAACGACATGTTGTATGAGGCTGGTTGGAGACGTTAAATACAGCATGCAATAGAAAAAAAATACAACTTTATTTTCCCGGGTTCGCCCACTCAAAAGGTAGGTAATGTGCCTTTTTTCAAACTCAAATTTAAAGAATAAATATTTTGGTATCAAGCTTAGAAACAAAAAATGCCAGATGCAAGTTTTGTAAATTTCCTGACTTTCTCGCCATTGTTATATATCTGCTATGCGTAATAAATTAGAACTTTAAAGATTTTATTCCAACTGTTAAGCTAACAATTGTGCGAGAGCAATCGATGAGCAGTGGGTTTTCCTACGACCAGTTACAGTTAATAGCTTTAAATTAGGCTTTATTACAAACAATTTGTATCGATTAATCCTGGACAGTTATTGCCTTTGAATTAATCGGCTTTCGAGCGCGTAAATTATACAGACAGAGGTCTATTTAAAACGCGTTTTTGCTTGAAGCAAACAGTAACCGTAATGTTAGGAGAATTATTTACGGAACAAGAGACGGATATTCCTAATCGATATGGAAATTAGCGGTTCACAGTTATATCAGAAACTTAATTATGCGTCAGATTGTATATAAATCACTTATATATTTGGGAAAAGATTGTTATAATCAATAATGTAATTACTCACTACTTTAAAAAACATGATTAAATCTAGTAAAAAGTTGCGTTTTTATATATCTAATCGAGTGCTACTTTCCCACGCTTTATTGGCGCGTGCAACTAACTACCAATCTTTTCTGTCAAATGCCTTTCAAAAGTGATAAATATCAGAACGTATATCAAGAGAATACATATCTGATTGGTTTATATAAATCATGGTAATAGTAACCATCAAATACGTGTTTTAGTTGAGCACATCCATGTTCTATTGTTGTTGTTAATACTATGTTATTTATAATTTGCGTAGTATTATTCAACTATTTGTTTCTTCGTAGGATAATAAATTAAGAGTCTAATATAATTATTACTTGGTAAGTTATGCGGACAAGTGAGGAATTTATTATCGTAAAAGCAGTGTTGCTAAAGGTGTTTAACAGCTGATATTTTATTTTGTATAATTTGCAAGCATGTTCTTATCATATGTTCGGAAGTTTATGTTATTTAATAACATTTAAGCCTGTAAGTTATTTTTTAATACAAACGTATTAAATACGACTCACAATGAAACCAAAATTTCAAGAGCAGAGTTTTATTGTGCTTCACAATACAAGAATCATCGAGTCGGGGTGCCACTAGCTTAAATATGAGATGGAAGATAAATACAATGGATCTTTAATAAACCCTGAAGCGGCTAATTCTTATTCACAAAGTAAGCCAGTAATTTTATTCTATTTATTTCTCTATTACTTGAATGCAAACTCGAAAAATAAGCGGTGTATGATTTGTTGGCTAGATAGGCTAAATAAACAAATTATGTTTATTTTCTTTTTTCTCATTGCTCGGTATTAAAATCACTGCTTGAATGATCAACGCAACAGGTGTGTCATCATTTTGAATCGACAAATCAGGAGTCTGATGTCTAATTTTTGAAGATATACACAGTAAAGTCCGCTTTAACAAAGGCCTTGTAACGAAGCTTTTTTATGGAACCGATTCATTCATATATGCTTGGCTCCCGGATCAAGATCAAATCACTTATGAAATTTATCAGGAACGAAAAATCATAACTACTAAACGAGCATTAACACCAATACATGATGAACCAAAAGGCTGCTCGAGTGCATTCGTTGAACGTTGATCATAACTTTGACGTAAGTGTAAAATTACAAAACAGAATTCAATTTTTGTAAGCACAATTTTAATATCTTTATTATAGCGTGCGATCACTTTTGAAAATATAAATAATAATGAAAGCATCAGAGTGATTGTATGGGAGGAAAATACTCGGACCCAGAGACATTTATGAGTATACCTATTCTTTGGTCACTCTGGTGCAAATTTAGATTTCATTATCCTTTTTATTATTGTTACTATTAATAGCATTATCACTATCGTCATTTTCATCGTCTTCATCTGAGTGGTTCACGTTTTCCTTCTTCCTTCGTTGAAGCTGCCTCGATCTTTTTTGTATCCAATTTAATTCTAAAAAGTTCCTAGTAATACGTCATTGATTAAGCCACTGATCAGCGTTAGTATATTAGATCACATTGCAAGAAGCCACGAACGAGGAGGATAAAGAGTTCTGGAGGGAGCGCGCGAGACGCACGTGAATAAATTACAGAATGCGTTGACGGCGACTGCTCCAACAGGTAACGACTTTGTGACTTGGGCTGGGACATAGAGTACATAGTGTTTGTCTCTGTTATAAATTTGTTGGGAAAATGCAGTCAATGTATCTTTTATTTCCAAACATACATTTTCCTACAACTATTTCTGTGTCCATTTTGACTATTATGTCTCAGCTAGTACGAGGGAAAATAATGACGAAATTCTTACAGGCTTGAAAGTATTGAGAAGAAAATTGAAGATTTCAGGAAAGATAAATTTGCAATACAAATCTCAAGCATCAACACAGAATACTTTACAATGATTGTGAATCAACAACCTTCAAAGCATAAGGCCTTGACTTAAACTTGAATGAGAGGATTGGTGCTTTTTGATAGTCAGCAGAAGCAGAAAGATTGCAAAGTGGCAGATATACCCTTCTATTATCAATAAGATACTCAAACTTAGTTTGTTTCAGCGGCTTGGGCATTATGATACAACCAATAATAATACTTTCCTCACGACAAGTGCTGATGTCCTACCAATAAGACTCTCTGGTACTACGGATTTAGTCATAGTACGTGTAGACTGACATTATATTGCTATGCAAATCCCAGAGAAGCATGTCCGAATTCTTTTGAGCTGGAAAAGTTATCATAAAAACAAATGTATCACAATTATGATAGCTAAAACTAATTACAAATCGGTCTATCGTAATTTTATTGCATGTCTCGAAAACAATAACACATTGAAACTGTTAAAATATGATGCGTCCCGCAAGTTATGACATCAATTAACGCCTTATATTCAAATCATGAGTCCACGAACGGGTTATTATTATGTGACACGTGCCAATGTTTCGAAATGGACTACAGTATAATGCTCGTAAGGAGGAAGATGCAAGAGACTTACTGAAAAAATTCAAAGAACATCTGATTAAGGCGCTAAGTTAAAGAAAAATTATTATAACAAAAATTTGGATTAACAGAACAAGAGAGAAAATTGGTAGATGATAATTACGCTGTTCCAGGAGATAAAGCTGATTATTGTAGCGTTGACGCGACTGCTCATTACAGTTACGATTAAGCACAAAATGTTCACGTACCCATTACTATTACGATCAACAGGTAAGCAAGATTTATTATCTCAGTCCACGTAAAGTGCATTTGTTTGGTATGAGGCAGTACGCGAACAAATTAATTACGTACTCGATGAAGATGAATTATTGGAAAAGGCCCTAATGGTACACTGAGACCGGTATTCAGAAATTGAACAAAGGTGAAAACGTCTAAAAATTACTTGTGATAACGCGGGTGGGCGAACAAAAATAATGCCACTATTTAAATTTAGTAATTTGCGGTTATAATGAAAGTATCTAATTGAATTTCATGGTACCCGGACATACTAAATTCAAGTGTGATGATAGTTTTGAATTGATTAACCGAAATATGACAGTAGATTGTATAGACCATATCGTTGAGGTCGTGAAAAAATTAAGTACAGCGGGACTAAACAAGGCTCAGTGTTATGAAAACGACAAAGGTTTTCAATATTTAGATCTTAATTTTGTGTTGGGAATTTTCTTTAAGAAATTGAGTGGTTTACAAAAACATCAGCATATTGTATTTGAAGCAGCCAAACCTGGTATTGTCAAATCTCAGCTGATGGTAATGGTGCTTTTACTGAATTTAATTTATTGAAAACCAGAAAAGCAAGTGTTTCCGAAATTACCAAAGAAATTAAGTCTTTTTCTATTTTAGTTCTAACTCCGTCTCCTTTGGATTACAAAAGACAAGAATTAGAATATCTTTATCGTAATATTCGCCATCTGTTATAGATAAATTCAAGGATATCACTTGCCCAAGACCAACCTATGCTGATATTGAATAAAAACATTTCAGTCTAAGTCAACCGCAAATTTTATTACTTTATAAGTATTTGTTTGTTTCTATTACTATTAAATTATTTATATTAATTTTTAATGATTTAATACTAAAATAATAATATAAAAATTAAAATCATGACAAGCTAAAACAACATTTTAACCGAAGAGGAAATAATAATGCATTGTCTTGATGAGTAAAAGCTGATAAAGAAGTTAAAGGTTTACAATCCTTAACAACTAATTTAGAGAAAGATAAGAATGAATTGCTTGAAAAAACTAAGCAATTAGAAGCAGAACAAAAAAGTATTGAAAGAAGCATTAGAATTAGAGAAAAACATTTCTAAATGCTATTTAGATACTCTTGGAGTAGCTAGCAAATGGAAAGTAAAGCAAAGCAAAGAAAAAGATGACAACTTAGGAAAAGCTTTGAGAAAAATAGAAATGCTAGAAAATGTTGTGGCATGGCGGAATTATTTAACAAACAAGCAACTTCAAGAACTACCAGTTTTGCCAAAGAAACAAAACAAATTTAAGTAAATAATGAAGTTAGAATACCAAGCTTAAGAAGAGGAGATAAATAAGATTGCAATTTTTGCTCTTTGAAAAAGAAAGAAGTTTAAATGCTATTTACCAAATATTATCTTACAATAGTGACATTGCTTATATCTGACAATGATGCTCTACCACATTGTGGTCGAGTTATGATAATAAGAAATAGAATAGATTACTTTTGTAATTTTAATTTAATATTAAGGAAAGATGAGCCACCAGTTAAAACTCCAATCATAACAGAAATAATGGCTCAGAGTTATGATTATTTGAATAGATTAGAACAACAAAACAAGGATTTAAAACAGCAACTAGCCAGTGCTAATACTAAGGAAGAAATCAGTTCTCACTTGATGCCTTAGATGTTTCAAAGGATTGACATGATAAACAAAAGCAAGAATTATCAGATAAAATTCTAATTCAAAGACTTAAAAGTGAGGTTGAAAACAGCAGACTCAACATGTTGCTCAAATTGAAGTAAAAGAAAATAAGAAATGAACTTGATTAAAAGTAAAAAGTAATTTAAATTTCATAAATGATTTTTTTTTGATCTAGATATTCCTGAAGAGTTTAGGCATCATTTGGTTTTAAAATGTATGGGGCAATTTTTTCTCCTTGTTACTTTTTTAAAATGCTTCTAATAGTGCTGTAATTCTTGGGTTCCATAGTGGACTTAATGTAAATTAGTTTCATATTAATATTTTTTTATATAGAGATATCCCTATATTAAACCTGTTATGGTTTATATTCATCACATTCTAGTATGATTAAGTAAACATTAAAATTAACAAGTCCATAAGTCATGAATTATTACTTTTCAAAATGTCATCAAGTCACAGTGGTCAATTTTACATCACAATCAGCCTCTCATAATAAAACGTTCACTTTATTGCAGTCTACTACTACCCCAATTACACATGGATTGCAAGTTATAAAATTATATATTAATAGGAATACCTGTATTAGTATATGAAAAATTATAATAATGGCTCCAACTGAATTTTCAGAGAGAAAAAATTTGCTGAGTTATGTGAAGCATTTCAAGCTCTCTTTAGACCCAAATATGATATATTTTTGATGGCCCAGTTGAAAGCAATGAATGGTGGAGAAATAACCACTAGTACTAGTATAATAATAAGGGATGATTCGATTATAATGTTATATAACACTCTGATGTTTGCAAAGATGTCAGAATATTGACACTACATGTTATAATCACGCAAGAAACTGAGTCAAGGTTAGAATTCACGTTAGGGTCAAACAAAAAAAATCAAAACTGGTAATTTTGAAGTAATTATCAAAAACTCAGTAGTTAAGAAGATTATTCAGACTATTGAGCGACTGATATTGAAAATCAAGACGGCTTATTCGATAATTGAGTGCTTCATAATGACCTCTTTTAACCTGCCACCGCGATCGCGGCTTCGCTGAATTTTGGTAAACACAATTTTTTGAGTCGGGTAGTTCACTATTGATAGATTATCTAAAAACATTGTCAAGCTGGTTTCATGTCGAGAATTTATGAACGCAAGTCCTCTTCCTGGCTGATGCACATAGGTAATTGACTTGATACGTCATCCCCGATCAGGAAAGAATCCACTTGATCACCGGGAAACGCTTCCCAGACTCGAAGCGTATTGATTTGTACCAGTCTACACAGAATTGCTTACTGTCATCTTTCTTTCCTACTATTATGTCGAGAGTTTATGAACGCAAGTCCTCTTCCTGGTGCACATAGGTAATTGACTTAATACGTCATCCCCGATCAGGGAAGAATCCACTTGATCACCGGGAAACGCTTCCCAGACAGTTGAATGTCCATGTTCGATAGCTTGATTATCTTGGCCTCAACATGCGTCTACTTCTGCTTCTGTAAAGTCTTCATGTTCCCATGACTTATTATGTATATTATAGTTGTGTTCCTTAAATGTTGAACTAGTATCAAGTTTGTTCGCAATTGTTTTGAGGGATAAAGAATCCTTTCGTACATATTGACCTATCGATCTCAATGCCTTCGCTGCTATTTTCTTGCGTCGCACATTTCTCTTTTTCGTAATATTCAAGATTACAAAGACAGCAGACCTGTTCATCCCAGAGCATGAATTCGATCATCGTTTCTAATGCTTTGGTTGCAGTATTGCAACATAGTCTGATGGTTAGCTTCCAAGGATAGTGAGTGCTATCAGTTGCATTTTACGCGATGTATTTGGAACAAGTTACACATGTACAGATTAGTTTCATGGCATTAGTATATTTTAGTAATTGATGCCAAAATTTCTATGTGCTCGTAATCATGTGATGAGAATGTTATGGCCCAATTAGAGATACGCACTTTTTCTACTATCACACCAATAAGCGACATTGTTTATGAACTGGGTTTCGAATTGGCGATTTGGACAAGAACGATAATATGACAACACTTTCAAAGATGCATGTAAGAGAACAAAGTTTCAAAAGAAAGAAATTCAACCGTTAAGCAATGCATGTTAGATCAATTGGGAGAACATTAATAATTAACAGAATGTTGATTGTATGAATAGACCCGTCAAACAAGGAAAATTTTATTACAGACGATATGTGAGAAATATCATTCGGCGTAATGGGTGCCCAGAATAAACAAATTCTCGCTCTTCTATTTCTACTGCGGTAGCTCAGTACTGGATAAAACGGTTCGGCTTCCCATGACTCATGCTTTACCACTTCAAATCGGCGAAGCAGGGTAACCTCTTGCGCTGCCCAGAAGCCAGTGTGATATTCTTGGAGAAACACACATCTACGAACGCACCCCAACGACACACTCGACAACTTGATTTCGCTCTTTGTGAATAAAGCAACACGACTGCCGAATGGACAAGAACTTTCTCCGAGAAAGCCTTACAAATAATTGCTGCCTTCTACTTGGTCAGCTTCTTTACTTCGCGCAACTCTGTGACAGAATGACTCGGGCATATTTGTATATTGGATTATGCAGATGCAACTTATATAATATTAACTTTCATTTGGTTGCCTCACATTTATATAGTGATGTGCGTGACCTGCAATATCTTTTATCGTTACACAAGAAATACGCACCAATCACATGCACGTGTCGCAAACCTTTCAGTGTGACGCAAACGAACTGGGATGTCAGAAAGTTGCCATTCCATTGCTGTTTCCAAAAATTGCAGACAGCTCGCAGCAAATTTTATCTTCTTGTCTCTAATTGCTAAAGCCTTTAGAAACTTTGAGTAGTATACATATATATATTTATATAGAGAGGAATCTTACTTTTTTCTCGCCCTTTGCTAACTTCAAAGACAACGACCATGGGTGCCGACGAAGGTTGCAAAAGTCTTTATGTGGGAAACCTTGACCCAAGAGTAACTGATCAAATGCTTCTCCAGATCTTTGCTGTTTCTGGTTCTGTAAACAATACGAAAATTATCCCTGATAAAAACGTGAGTTGAAAACAAAACAATACATTTAGAGCCAATCAAGAAAACTAACAATGAGAGACTGCAAGAGGCGATTTATGGGGGATTTATTTTGATATTGAAAAAACTGAGAGAACCCATACCAGAAACTTTTTTTTACTCTTATCTATTACGTTATATCATTTCTTTGATATGTGAGAAGAGAAAGAAACTACTGTTTTGCTTTTCTTTCCACTTTTGTTTAAGTTTCGAGGACTCTTGCTGATGTTGGAGGACAAAAACTTGCAACAAGCAAAACCGTGAATACTTGGGCTTGTGGGCTTCTGCACTGGAACGTCTCTCTCTCGAGTTGCGAATCCATAAAATCTTTATGTCGCAGCTCAAAGGTTGGAATTCCTTTATCTTCACATCACTATCTATCTTTCTGTCTTCTCTGTCTCTCGATCTCTGTCGATCTCGTCGAAAATCTCTCTTTATGATCAATACTTTTTTTATTTCTCTCTTCTTTCTGAGTTTTGTTGTTTACTGAGGACCGGACATGCTTTGTAGACATTCACTATTTGATTGTCACTGTGATATGTGCTGTAGATTAGAGTGAAGGAGCAGTAGAATATTTTGATATGGATTGGGCTCTTCTCTTATATAATATTAGATGATAAATGAGACGAATCTATAATTTCTGCCTATAAACCAATTATGATTTTTACTAACCATTTTAATTTGCTTTTATTGATTTTTATGATCAGTATCAACACGGTGGTTTGAATTACGGGTTCGTTGAATTTAATGATCATCGTTCTGCTGAACAAGCTTTACAGACATTGAATGGGAGAAGGGTGTATGACATGGTGAGCAGTGAACACACAAACGGTTTGTCTTTGCATGGGGCTTGTACATGTGATGGGACATCTCATATTAATTGAATTATGCTTGGTTAGGAAATCAAAGTTAATTGGGCTTTCCAAGGACAACAACAACACAAAGAAGACACATCAAGTACTTTTACAAACATGACTTGTAGAAATTTTTGCGTTTCAGGAAATGTACTTTTCTAACTGTATTTTGTCTAGATCACTATCACATTTTTGTTGGTGACTTGAGCCCAGAGGTAAACGATGAAGTACTAGCAAAGGCATTTAGCGCTTTCGGGAGCATGTCGTAAGTTCCAGATCGACAAATCCACGTTTAATCTGTGTCTTGTTTTCATGTAGAGTTCTATTGGTAACCCCAATGATTTGGCTGTTCGATAGGGATGCACGTGTTATGTGGGATGTTAATTCAGGAAAATCTCGAGGATATGGGTTTGTGGCTTTTCGTGACAAGACTGTAAGTGCTGGTCTTTTGGAAGTAATCATTTGTACATACCATGTTCACACTGCCAATACAATATTCTCAGGACGCTGAGCAAGCAATTGCAACCATGAACGGTGAGATCTGACTTTCTTACATTAGATATGGTTTGGTTGATTAGAGATAATAGCGCAAAATGTAGTTGGAGAGCGTGTATAAAAGAGATCACATCTACTTCCACATCTTAACCACAAATTGTTCATGCAATTTTTATGCAGGCGAATGGTTAGGTAGTCGTGCAATTCGGTGCAACTGGGCAAATCAGAAAGGCCAGCCAGGTCCGGGTAGCAATACGTCTGATCGACAAGGTATCTATAAGTTCAAACTTTGTTTCTCAACTTTTTGTCATTTGTTGATATTTCCGCGTGTTCATGCGCACGTTGACAGGAAATACTCCGCAAGCGCCTCAACTTTCTTACGACATTGTTGTCGCACAGACACCTCAGTACAATAGCACCGTATATGTAGGGAATTTGCCGCCATTTACTACACGTAAGTATTGTTAGATCAGAAAATTAATATCCGGGGTGAAGAAAAGGTGGATTAGCGGCAAATAAAACATGTGTTATAGAAGTAATAATAGGTAATAGAACAAGCAAAGGATAATAGAATGAGTATGATGCGAGTAGTAACTAATATGGGGTAATGGTGGTTTTTATGTATACGATGGGCCTCGATTGACCATTAGCAATTATTTTTAACAGAGGAACACTTGATGCCATACTTTCAACCATATGGATTTATTATCGAGATTCGCATGCAGGCAGATCGTGGGTTTGCATTTGTGAAGTAAGCTCAGCTATTCTTACTGGTTAATTTTAAATTGACATGAGGAACATTGGAACTCACTCTTGTTCGATAACCATAGATTAGATACGCATGATGCAGCCGCGCGCGCAATTGTGAATTTGCAAAATACTCAAATTAATGGTAGAATCATCAAGGTAACTATCATCAAATACTTTGACGTGTAATTATTTTTGTCACTCTCCAACTAACTGCTATTTGCTGATTTACCGACATCACGTTTTGGTTTCTTTGCGACCAGTGTTCTTGGGGTAAAGACAGGGCACCAGATCAGGGAACCAATTCGTATCATGCTGTCGCCGCGGCTGCAGCAGTTGCCTATGGTATCCCGTCAACTTATAGTTATAATACTTATGGTTACTTCAGTAATCATACTGCTCACCACTACCCTACTCCAGGATCAGAAACTGGATATGATCTTCCGCCGGGCATGACAGCTCCACCTCAATCCATTGCATCACTCGACGGCAATGCAGCAGTAGCTGCTCAAACACAACATGCTAATGCTGCATGGGATACTTATTATGGGGGTAATGCTAATTATGAACCATACTATTACGGTGGGTACGGATATAATACACAAGCAGGACACGGATCGGCAGCACCAGGTTTGGGTGCACCTGGACTCGGCGCGCCTGGAATGGGAGGACCTAATTCGCCACATGCTGTTGCTGGTGGACATCCTCATAATCATTCTGGCGGAAATGCTTATTCTGGATAAAAAAGCGTGTATGATATTGGTGGAAGATAAGGTGAAAGTGTATGTGAGAGTGAATAGACGAAGAGTGCTATTTGTTTTGTTAATTACATGTGATGGACACTCTTTTTCTTGGTGATCTGTTTGGTTTCTCTTTTCTTCGCAATTCATTTACTTGTTCGTCCGTTGTATTTTGTAATAATTTCCATCAAGTGATTTATTGAATTGTTATGAAATTTCCACTTATCCTTGACAGCATTGATCGAGCATAGTATTACATCAACCGTCATATATAACTATATACATATAAACACTCCTCCGACAAAAAATCAATAAAGTGCTAAAATGAACAATCGACCGGAACTGACAAAAGATTGTTGATCGGTTGCTGGCGACGAATCATGTTATGATTGGTAAAAGAATGGATTATAGTATACTTCGTTTGGTTTATTCAACTAACCACTTGGTATCAGTTGGTATTTTTTATATTAAAATTCTGTTATCTTTTCAGAGAGCGGTTTATAAGACCCAAACCACTTCAAGCATACAATATTCTTTACTCTCTCATCAAATTTCTATTTGAAAGAGAAGCAATTTTCTTTTCACCGTCATCTGCTCTCTTTTTATAACTGTTAACTAATGCTTCACTTGACCGTTATTAGCGCAAAACTTTCTTTAGAGTTAACATCAGAGGAAACACTTTGGCACTTGGTACAAGCTGAGAAAGTCAACCAGCATATCGAGTAATGATCTAAAAGGTCTATATCCAGAATACATATTAAACAGATCGCGCGGCCGCTACATGATTGTCACTCTGTCCAAAAAGGAATTCCTTGACAGAGTTGGAACGTGTCGCGCCTTTTGAAATCACAAAGTGGTGGATCAAGGCTCGCGAGCAGTTTCTAATCTCGATACAAATGCAGCCGTCAATGCCATGACGCTTCTAATGGCAGAGACGTAGATCAACCGATTGGCGATGGTTAAAGTATACGACTGTTGGTCACACATGCCTCCGCTTTGCGATTGTTGTCCCGAATATTGAGTGGGTTCTTTTGGTGTATAATCAATCTTTCACTAGTCTGAACTTACTCATAATTGGACACCTGATAACTTGCTGTTTGCACGCAGGACTAATAAACGCTCTTTTACAAGAGTTGACAGCGAGCGCATATGAATAGCTTTTAATCTGTACTTTGCACAGTGTTACTTCTTCCTTTCTGTTCATACAAAGCACGGCTGTTGTTCTCGATCAAGTTTCTCGATATTCATGGCTTTAGTATGGGAGAAATCGATACGAATTAAAAAGTGAAATTCTTTTATTTTTATAACTGATAGTGGGTCGTAAGCTAACAGTCCTGACACTTTATTATCCAAAAGACTCTTAATAATTGCGCGAGCAGTGAACGCCCCCATTCTCATCCGAGATTGTGAAAGCGAAAAAAAAAATTATTTTTATTTTTTTTTTTCATGATGGTAAAGGAGGAAATAACAATAAAAGCCTAAAACCCCTGAATTTTTGCTGTGGAGTAAGATGATCCGTGTCACCTGCCCTCTGGATGTTTTATGCGTGACGTTGATCAAGTATGAGCTTAGAGCATGCATGAAATTTTAAATGAAAGAAAGAGACAAGTTGTTTGAACGTTGCGGAGACGAATGCATCCAAGCCTTGGATAGTCTTTGTTCCCATTTTCACAATGAAAAATGATACATGACGTATATGCAAGTGAATGATCGAGCAACTTGGTATTCGAAATGACATTTATCTTGCAGTAGTCTGCAAGTGTCGTATTTCACGTCATAGTAAACTAAACCTTAATACGTAAATGAGGAAAAAAATAGATCTAGAGCGGGTTGGCGAGTTTGATCGTCCTCTCTAATTCACCCTGGAGTGCTTTTACATCCACTTGATGACATTTTTAGTTTTGCAAACTGGAAACATACTAATACAGCAACAGGCCAAGCTGCTACGTCATTGAACGTGTCTTATGCTCGTGATCGATGACAAGATAACAAAAGGTTCGCATTCATAAAGTCTTGGTTTGAAATGTGGGACCAGAAGGTGACATGAATATCTTTATTTCTCTTACCATTATTAATATCATTTTTACTAGCATTGATTTCTTCAATTTACATTTGTCATTGTCAAAAGTGCTTGCTTCAATGAGAGTGGAATGCTGATTCTGGTTTCTATATTTTAATAAATTACAAACAAAAAGTTATCAACATTCCATTTAGCAAGTCGAGATTGCCCCGAAATAAAGCTATTGTAACATTGACAAAAAGCATTTAAAACAAGTAGAGATTGACTGCTCTTCTCCTCAATCATGTTGATCCCACAGTTTATTCAGTTCAGTTGTGGGTTTCATGTAGCACACCTTGTAAGTAAGCCTGTTATATGCCATGTTGATTTTACTCTTGTGCAATGTTTTTTACCCAAAATTTAAATGTCTTTCTATTGATGGAAAGATTTCAATATTGGCATTTACAATAAGGACGGTGTTATTATTATAGTCTTTGGTGAATCATACCAATTATAGCATTTACAGACAGATTTCATTTGGTGTCAAACGTAAAAATGGGAAAACGGTTGCTAAAAAACATGTCAACAGCATGTGCAAAACCTGATTTTCTACACAAGTCTGAGATCAACTCTATCATCCAGTTTACACTCATGTGGGAAAAATGTGCAACCCGTGTATGGGACAAAATAAATCGAATCCACTTTTCCCTTCGCAGACAAATTTTAGAAAAGTCGCGTGTAAATAGTAAGGAAAGCTTTCCATCTCATCTTTCCTAAGCCAGTTTGGTATTCACATCGTTAAATTTCAAAAAGTCACGTTTTCCCCAATTCAATGATATTTGGTATTCCCTTGATTTCACGGAAACCCGGATTCGTAATGTCACACTCAATGTCTGATTTGTGATCCAATAATAGATTTGAGTGTCAAGTCAGCGACAAAGAATCATTTAAGAGAAAGTCTTTTCCTCTCCGTTTGGCTGGTCAAGTTTTCTTTTCTTTTATTTAGCCAACTTGTTATTTTCTGGAGAAAAGAAATAGAGTAGCTCTGAAATCTATAATAATCGGTAACCGTTGAATTTCATGTGTTCATTACGAATTTAGCAAACAAAAAAAAAAAAAAAAGAGCTGAAAATAACGATTTTCAGTCCCGGCCCCCTGATCAACAACACAAAAGTCCAAACGAGTAGGAATTGCGTACGAGAATGTGAAGCATGATCATTCAAGAGTTTTACGGTGCAACCATGATGGCTATTGTGTAAGAGATACAGTTTTAACGTTTATGTGCAATTGGAGAGATGTGCAGTCTCCAATGATAGCAAACTACTATATGAACTAAAAGAGGTAAAAATCGGATGACTTGCTTGAGAAGTGGTTATTCCGGTTATAATAAGAGTCTAAATATATCGATGTAGTGGTATGCATTCACTCCTACAGGATTTTTAAATACATCCTCACCTAGTAATACAAAATTGTAATATCACATGCGTGGTTCAACCGCCATGCTTTGAGAGACACAAGAGTCCCAAGAATAAGAAATGACAATACATCTATTATACTATGGAAGTCATTTGTGCTTCCAATTTACTGTACAAAGTTAATTTAATTTTTTTTGCGTGTGGCTAGTTTGAAATTTGTTGACAAGACAAGTTTTTTTCCTCGCGAGAACTTTAAAATCACATTCTTCCGTGTTACACATACAATTCACGAGACACTGTCACCTTGTCGTAAAGAAAAATGGGGTGTGGTTAATGAGCGTTAATGTAAACAACTACGTATTATTTGCAGTCATTATAAAACGCCAATACGAGTAATTGCACATGCATACATATATATGTATGTATATTACTAGTACTTGGTGTAATAAATATTATCAATACAGTATATCGCTTTATAATATCTGCAGGTGGCGATTAATCCGTTGACGGTTGGTCGAAAAGCAGTCAAAAACCGGTCATCTGCTTGTTGGGTAGTATGTTCGTCTAAGCGGAGTGCATGAAAAGGTTGCGCGCCTCAGATGAATGAATTTTGATTGAGTGATGATAGAGATTGATTGATAGTAGGAATTCGTTAATTGCTTTAATAAATACTTTCAACGATTATTACAATTATTAAGTATAATTATTAAACTAATTAATAACATGTTAATAATTGTAACATCAGATGTGATGATTGTCTAGTTCTTGCGGCGTATTGTTTTGGTTGATGTGAGGCGGATAACATTGCAATTGACTAATCGAACTGAATTTAAGAGATGCATCTATTGATTAACCTGTCACAATACAATAACGATAACAACAATGAAGCCATTTATACTCTATGTTACGAGTAACACAGTTATTATTATCGTCAACGAGAACAGTTGAAAAGAGAAAGGGGGGTGTGCAGAGAAAGAGTGTGAGGCAAAAAGGGGGATGGTCTTGGTTATTCTAACGCCTTTTTCTTTCTCCCTTTCTTTCCATTCATTGCCGTCAATTTAGTCGAGACTAGACTAGTTTCGACTCATTCAAGTCATTTACTAAAAAAGCGAATTGTATCTTTCAGTCTTTATCGAGACATTAATTGGACATTGGAAAGCCCCGGCATTCGATCAATACATCAATACTGTACCCCAACATATTTGGCAGATGGAGACACAGAACAATATAACCATGTATAGTAACGAAGCTGTCAATTGAGTTAACTAATAATAGTAGTCATGAAATTCATCTGAAGGGCATGCGCATACCATCATTTTCACGAGTCAGTGAACTACGAAACAATGTACCAACAAAAAACAATTGAATGAATGGAATTGACAACAAATGAATTAAACTCACTCTACATAACAGCTTTGCTGACGGTTGCCATGTTGGCATTGCTCTAGGCAAGAATTTTCGCTGTCAAATAAGCAAGGTTTTGAGTAGCGGGTGAACCAATCAACGGTATGCGCTCAATAGTCACTTATCCGTGATATCAGGATTATTCGTTATCTTGTCACTGTATTTGTTATCCATTCTATGTAAAAAAGGCTGTGTCATCAAGGAGGGACAAAACGATTGCGACAATGGTCCGAGATAGTACGACTTGGAACACCATCTCCTGAAGAAAGAAAAAAGGTGAAAAAGCATCCAAACAAACATAGAGTTTGGAGAGAGGGAGAGAGGGAGGGAGGGACGGAGGGGAAACACCAAGTCTCGATGATTGTTTTGAGAGGGAAAAATAAGCGCAATGGGGTTAATAACTTGATAATTCGGACGAGATGAATATGAACGACGGTGGTTTTTAATTTTACGTTGTTTTATTTTACTTTCCGGCACAGTATTTTTTTTTTTACTTGTAGCAGATTCGCAGCTTGCGCAGTCAAAGGGTGTTTGTTAAGGTGAGCACATGCACAGTGGAATACATTATTGCTACAAGGCCCATGTCGCACTTTGCCGATACAAATTGTCACAAATTGTTAGGTTTCAAGGGCCAGACAACACAGACAATAAGCTATGATAGGATGATATATAATAGAACATACGGTATATTGTATGCAAGTTATTTATATTTACTTTATGCAGGTTATCTTTCATTGTTTATATCTCTTTACTATTTTATCACATTCTACTGTATTCCATTATATTCTACTTTATTCCATTATAATCCTCTCTTTGTTTAGCACCACATCCACATCAGCATCAGCATCACCAGCATTAAATAGTAATATCAATAATAACATCAGTAATAATAACATCAGTAATAATAATAATAGAATGGAAACAACACATCATCATCATGATCATGATCATGTAAGAACCCCCTTTTCTTCATATGCAAGTCATTACACATCAGTCTGTGTGTGTGTGTGGCTGGCTGGCTGTACTTGAAGGTGCCAACATCAATCCCTGATAAAGACGTCATCAGTTTTGTACTCCAGCAACGTTCCGTAATAAACGCATAAATAATAATAAGACAAACAAGATTGTTGTACATATGATATGCAACAGTATTAATATGAATATCATATGTAAATGTGACTATTCGAACTAAAACATTGTATTATTCAATTATATCGTATCACTTTGTGCCTTCAATATCACCCGACCCCTCCCCTCTTTCCCTCTTATCCCCCCCTCATCCCCCCCCTCAAATACTCATTTATACTAATGTCAATCCCCGTAAGCAGTTTTCGTACATATCATCGACAAAAAAGAAGATTTCCCTAACACAAATCCCCATTACCGGACTATTTTTTTTTTCGTCCCAGCTGATTACGAATTCTGTCCGTCCTTTTAACCGTTTCTTCTCGTGCCTGACTTCCATCCCCCCCGTTTTGTTCCTTTGACCTTTGAGGGCAAAAAAAAAAAAAGGACAAATTCGCCCGCTATCCAGTAGACATCTATATATATAATACCATATAAAAATTTAAAACTCGTTAAAAAAATTTTTTCCCTTCAAAAAAGTTTACAATTCACATAGATATATAAAAACTATATATATATACGCCGTTCCACCTATATATATACACTTTCATATAACAAAAATTATTAAGGGCCTGTCATTAAACTCGATTGTAGACGCTGAACAAAATAATTGACAAAAGAAAAAACTACTACGAGAAGGCAAAATTAACGCGTTTACCAGCTAAAAGTGAACTACATTCATTGCTCGCACCTATTCTGCTGTAATATACACTTGTAAAAAAAAAAAAACTTGGAAAAAAGAAATTATCATTATATCTTCGCTGGGCGAGCATATCAATAATTACAAGTTCATAACTCAGTTACCCACTACAAAATTGATACCGATAACGACAACGACGGAAACATATCTTCTGCTCAACCACAATCACTATGGAAGTACAAAGTGACCAACTACAACCAGAGCTCATCATCTCTGCAACTCCAATAGTCGACATTAAAGAAAAGCCAACAGCCCTCGCAGAGAACAAGGATGAAAATGCACTCACTGCACCTAAAGAACCCACCGCAATAGTGGACAAATTGAAACAAGACTTGGAGGCGACCAATGAATTGCAGAATCCTCCGCCTCCATACTCACAATGGGACACTATGGATCTAGAACAATTACTCCAGAAAGGTCGTGAAATGCTTACGGAGCACGACACCGTCATCAAGGATGGCGAAATGCTCGATAAGGTATGTGTGTGAACAATTATTGTGTTTTTATTTTATTACCATGCTACTGTCAATTATGACAGAGTCGATACTGTCAAAAGTTTTCAAAGTCGTATCCCCTCTGTTTCCCCTCTGTTTGTCTTTGCAAACTGTTCTTTCGATACTTGACCCATTACTGTTATTACATAATCGAATTGTTACACAATTATAGTCTATCGACATCGTACTAGTTTGCTGACATCATCTTGTTCACTCTCGTGTAGATGACGCAGTTAGAATCTCTAGTTTCATCACTACAAACAATACTTAGCGACCAAACATCCTCTATGCATGATCTAAAGTCTCAATTGTCAGAGTGAGTCGCGCAAATCGTGCCATGTTAATGTCATCATTACGCATCGCTATATAACTAACTATTGTTTCTCCTTTCAGTGTCCAAAACGTTCTTAAAAAAATGCAAGACAAGCAAGAAACAATAACAAGTGAAGAAGTCATGAAGCAAGTTGTCACCATGAAGGTAAATTTTGACAGGCATCGATTGTCTTAATATCCTCATTCGCAAATATGATTTGAATTCATAACAAATGTCCCCTTATAATTATCTCACTCTAGGCGCTCACCGAGAATCTCATCGCGTCAAGTGAAATCAAACGACAGCTCGACGAAAGATTGGCTGCCGCGGCAAACCTTATAAAACCAGACGTAAATTTAGAAGACTTGGAAGTGACAGCCACGTACACTCATCCGCAACCACAAGAAGAGACTACATCACATTTATCGCCTCTATCTGCAACGCCGGCGGTAACCTCGACTTTTTTGAATACATCACATACCATATCAAGACAATCATCTCGTCCTCCATCCAGAGCACCATCCCGTCCTTCTTCCAGAGTACCGTCTCGCGCCGTATCGCCATCACGTGCTCCTTCTCTCTCGGGTACCTTCCCGAAAAACGTTCCTTCCTTACCAACGTCCCCAATGATGAAAGCATCAAAACCAAAACAATCCGTTATTCCACCTATCAACGAGGAGACACCTGGCGAAGAAGATGAAGAAAAAGTAGAAGGATCTGAAGAAAAAGAAAAAGAAGAGGATGAGGAAGAGGATAATGGCGAGGAAGATGTCGCATTTGCTCGCATGTTTAATATGGTTTCGAGTCTTTTAACTGAAGCAACAACTGCTGTGGAAGCACCAGTCAAGGGTAGAGAAAAAAAGTTCCGTCAATTGTCAACTGCGAGCGTAGAATCACGAGATATCTTCGAAGACTTTGATTGGGAGGGGTTTGGCGAGGAAATTGAAGAAGAAGAAGAGCCAAACGTAGACGAGACCAAAAAGAAAGTGGAATCTGTTGATGTAGCCATCGTACCTCGTGAACGCAAGAGCGAGAAACGAGAACATCGTCGTCAAAAATCCAAAAAAGAAGAAGAATTTGCAGATTGCATGGCATCCCTCGATAAACAGTTGGATGATAGTCTCACTCAAGTGACCTATTTGATCAACGAGGTGATGGATGATGAGGACTCGGCAGTTACCCACAGCAAGTCTCACAAACCACGAGAACTTATGGTCAACTATGCTGACTCTACTCACGAGTTGATCAACAATCCGAGCGGTGACTTGGCTGATTTGGATGATTTCGCACAGCAATGCAGATTAGTCACTCGTGCAATAATTTTACCCTTCTTGCACGCAACACATTCCTTCATGTCAGAATCGCTGCAAGCTACGAATAATCCTAATGCACCGAGAACTGTCACGAGCACGACTAGGACGTTCATGAATCTGATGTACTGGACGTTTTTATTTACCCTCGGATCGCTAGTGTTGGATGCTTGGTTATGTGAGGTTGCTGGTAGGCAAGTCATCCGCATGGTCGATATGCTGAAACCGACTCAACCATTCGGACTACTAAACAATGGATACGGTAATAATTACTATAACCCATATGTAAGTTACAATTCTTCCTACGACTACCAATCTCCTCAAGATTCTCCACGAACAATTGATGACGGTAAAAAAAAAAACGTCAATTTTCCCACACGTCCTAAAATAAAAGCCGTAGCGTGGAGCGGGATAGGAAAACAAAGTTGGTGGAGAGCGAGTGCAGCGGGAGTATGGAGCTTTGGCAAACGAAGTGGAAGATTTCTAACGAGTGGTAAATGGAGTGGACATGGAAAATGGGTAGAAGAAGAAAACGAAGACGAAGGGAGCGAAGAAATAGAAGAATGGGAGATTGTAGATTGGTTCGACAGCAGTGAAGAAGACGACGATAATAGTGAAGACGAGTTGACGATTACCAAAAGTACAAAGCGTGCGGGACACGTCAGACAACGACCATTTAAAAACTCGGAATCGAATGAAGAGGGAATCATGTCTACAAATGGGCGTCCTATAGTACGATCATGTGATAACCACGCATTTAAGCAAATAGAAAAATCGGTAAATCAATATATGGAAAATTGTTACGACTCTGGCATGAACATTGCCAATTTGACAAAAGACCATCATTCGGCGTCTCTTTTATCATCACCGATCGACGATGATGAAATCGAACTCGATATCCCTGGATCTTTCCCGGCAGCTTTCCGTTGGACTCCCTCAACGTCGTATGAACCGATGACCGAGGAGAAAGAAAATGTTCGGCGTGTGCGCAGTGTCATAATACGTCGTCCGAGCAGAGGACCGTTTGGTGAGATTGATGGATGGGTCATGAAGACTGCGAAAATTAGGTCTGGTAGTGAAAAAGATAGTGCGAGAAACTCGATGATTGCAAAGAAAAGGAAAAGATCGAGTACAGTTCCTCCGGCCCGCACTTGGGTACGGCGAAACAGCTTATAGCACATTATCTCTGAATATTTGAACTATTGTAAGATTGATGAAAAAACTAGACTTATAGAGAACTTTTATATACTACCACTACCTTTTTTCCTTGTAATATATATTTTTTTTCGTTTACTTTTTCTTCCATCTCTCTCACAACTCTTTCTCTTTTGCGTCAAACGGCTTGCCGATTTTATTGATGAGGTCTAAGCTTTGTTTACATCAAACATTTTTTTGTAAAAATAGATTTACCACGAGAAAATAGGACAATCTCTCAAACTTTTTTTTTTATTTCTTGTATGTATTTTCTTTTTCATTTCTTTTTACATTCGTTCCTATCTTTTATTTCGTACTGGTAGAAGTTGTGTTGAAGTTGGTGTTGGTGTGTTGTTGTTGTGTTGTTGTTGAAGTTGTTGAAGTTGTTGTGTCGGTGTTGGTGTTGTTGTGTTGCTTGTGAGGAAATTCCTGTCCCTCCTCGACTTACGGCTTTTATTATCCAGACGTCGTGCATCTAGTTTATTATCTCGTCTATTATTCAGTTTTACATATCAATTTTCACTATATTTTCGTACCATTTATTATATTCTATATCTTCCATAATAGAAATGTTGTGGAAATGTTTCAACTTATTATTCATGTAACTCTTCTTTACTTTTACCTTTTCAGTATTGAACTTGTAGAGATTTGTGTTAAACGTGGCAGAAATCCTGCAAGGGTACAGTCGAATAGTTCATTCATAGTTATTTTTATTTGTTTTTTAGCTTTTTTTTTTTTTGATGTTTGAAACTGAAACTTTTCAATGATGCAAGAAATAAAAATGTGGAATATTTTTGTCATTCATGTTTGGCGCATATCTCTATCTCTGTTTGTCTCTCACTCTCAAGCGCAAGTTGTTCGCCCCCCACATCATCGCTCATTCGCCGTCTTTTCATCTCCCATCCCCACCCCTTTTTTCCCTCTCCACCCCCAGCTTTATGCAGATGGAAGGCTTCTAAATTTAACGTGAAAGCTTTGCGTAACATTTCCCAACTGTAGGGAATTGCGGAGATATTATTTAGGGCAGCGAACGACTCGGTTAAATAAATTCCCCACATACATCCCCACACACAGCATGTAAAAAAAATTACCTTGCATTGCTGAAAGTAAGGGGGAGGGAGAGGAGAGGAGGGGTGGCAAATTTTGACTTGTAAAAGTGCATGCGGCTGACGCGTTTTTGTTAACTAAATAAGCTCTCTGATATAGTGGATGGATGGCGTTACGTTAGTCAACAATGCTTACCGTCTACAAACATTGAAATCAAGCTTAGTTATGACGAAATGATGGCCGTTGCCAGTTCTAAAAGTGACAACGCGCGCGATACAACTATTTGTGTTGGATGGGAAAGTATTTATTTAATATGCTATTCGTGTATAGTCGGAGCAACATTATTATAATACAATTAAAAGTTCTATTCTTCAAATTGCGCACACTAAACTGGTTTCCAAGATAGCCGCATATTTTCTTTTTTATTATTATCTGCAACCAAATGAGCCACGAATACATCAACATGGAAACCTTTCCCCGAGGACCAATATTAGACGAAAAACGAAAAACGAAAAACCCAAGAAGACGAATTTTAAATTAAAATTAAATTAAATGTTCAGAATGTAATTCAGATTTCCTGCTACAACTAAAAGGCTTTCTTCTCCTTTACATTAACAACGTCGAAATCACAAATTCGAATAGCAATGGAGTGTCACCGTCTGTAACATACACACATAATTCGACATTCCACTGTTCGCGTGGGGAATTAAATGTTATATATCACATACGAACGGGACTACAACTAGTTACAGTAAACCAATTCTGTTTATGTAATATCCATCGTTTTACAAGTGTTCGCAGAAACCATTACAGTTACAAGGAAAAAGGGGGTGATGCCAAACCTATGTACAAGAAAAGCGTGTAAGTACTAAAAGGAAGTTGTATGTATATATGTATATATGTATATATAAGTGCGAATATAGTATAAGAGAACAAAAAGTTAGACAAAAAAAAATGTTGCGTTATGCTACAGATTCTCTTGCTTACTACGAAACGAATAAAAGATACATCTTCGATTCTTGTAGTCAATACAAAATGTTTTTCATCTGAGCTTGGAGATTACAGTATCCGCTTGCCGATCGTGACTGCACGATTAAACCAAAGAGAGAAAGAGCCAAAGTTTCCACAATATAGTTCAGTCGGTCAATATATACCATAGGTCGTAATAGATATAGAGATTACTGTCCCGAACCATTTCCGTCAGCCAAGATGACCATATAAAGCCCCGGCCAGTCCAGTTTTATCCCCTAATTGACTGTCGTTGGTTCTTTTGTTTGTCTTTCTTTTTTTTGGTTATATTCAAAACCCGAACTGAACGTGTTCCTAAAAAATCCAGCAAACGTTCAATTAACATTAAGCTCTTCCATACAGTCTATTTCTTGATTTTCAGTCACTTTTATTTACCATAGCAAGTTGAACGGATGAGTCTTCTTTACCGCCAGCCTCCCAGAACCTCGCCATAGGGACTCTATTTCCAGTATCTTCGCCTTGCAGGGTTCCAAACTTTACGAATGGATCGATTCTTGGAGGAAGCGTATATCTACGCGCAAGTAACCTCTTGGGTTCAGCTGTGGTGTTGTCAGCCGGCCCGCTCTCGGAGGCTCGGCGATGAAATTGAGGAATTGTGGGTTGTCCTGAGAAGAAGCTCGAAACGGCATTGGGTAAGGAAGAAGAAGTCGGAGTGGCGGTATTAGGTGATGCGGGCACGGAAGAAGAGGTGGGAGAGGTTGGAGATGGAGAGTTAGAGTCGTCGTCTTCGTAGTTAGCGCGAACTACGCCAAGGAAGTTTCTCGCCAACATGACAGGAAGATTGGATGTCATTTTTTCGGTTCGATAAGTGAGTGAAAGAAGAGAGTGTTCTTTTCTGTATAGTTGGTCTGCCTGGGGTTTTTTTATTTTTACAGTTTATGAAAATTGCAGTTTCAAATGGGTTTTTTTTTTGGTGTTTGTAGGGCGACCTTGCTTTATATATAGACAGCGACAAAGAATTGTAATAAAAGGATAAATTGATATATAACATTGTTATCTTGTGGCGTTAAGCATCACATGAAACCCGAACATTACGATATTTACAAAAGTGTTTAATCCTGAACTGGATTTCGATTGCGTGGGTAAAATAGAAGTTGTGAAACGAAAGTTTGAGTTTTCTGGCTCAAATGAATATTACTATTGTTGCCATCATTGTTGCAATAGCTCAGGTGATGTCCTGCACTTGTTCGCTTTGCTTCCCAAGAAACGAAAATGAACGAATTAGCATTTAGTACGTTCAGTATTTGTTTTCACGTTTGGTGGTCATGAGCTCAATTGCCAGGCTTTAAATTTTACAAAAAAAGCAAAAGATTCGGGGGGAAAAGGTGGGGGGGACGCATTCTTTTTCACTTCAGTCATACGATCCAGTCAGAATTGCCCTACTACTATCACAAGCTTTTCTTGTAAAAGGAGAACTCGCATAATTAACACATAAACAACTACAACAATACCTAAGAAGGGCGTTAGTGTATCCAAATAAAAATAGTTAGTACGCTCTTATCACAATTTAGACAATGATACAACATGGTGTACATCCACTTACTGTATGTTGATATAATAATAAACATTGGGCTAAATTAGAATAAAAGAAATATGAGGTTGCCATATTATCTACAATATCCGCCTGTTCGGTCACTTTCCTACTTTAATTCTTTTTGTTTCTCATCATTGCTCTCTTCGCTCTTGGTTGTGTCGTCCATACTCGCCCCCCCTCTCATTCTCGTAAAAACGTCTTCCCACGCCCATGCCATGTTTGTTAAAAGGGTATGCAGGTTTGTTATACAAATTTTATTGCAAAAAATATTAAAGCATCTAATATTATGTGAGTGATGTTGTCTCATTTGTTAGAGAAGACTACTTATTCCAGTTATCGTTAAAACCTTGTCAGTTTTTTTTACGTGCAAAAATCGAACAAACCAGGTTTTAAGAATAAAAATTATCATCGTATTATGATTAAGGTATATTAATATATTGTGGTAGTATCAGACTTGTATGCTTATCACATATTTTATGTGATCATTCCCACAGATCATTACCATTAATATCGTAGAAATGCTGAAAGAAGGAACGGTTATAAGAGTGATTCTACGAATAGCATATGACTGCGTTTTATGCCAACATCGTGGCCGGCTGTACAACGTGATCTCTCACCACCGGTGTGAGGGGCTGAGGAAAAGTTTGGATCCGGGCTTGCCATATGACCCGCCCCAAGTAAGTAAATTATGAGGCATCACCAAGTCGAGTGACCGCGATTTAAGGCATAAAAAAGTCTGTGAGACAAATAAATGAAATAAAGGCGAATATCATGGACAATGGTTTGACTTGCTGTCATGTATAGAAATTCAATTCTTGTTGACTTACTATGGCGCGATTGTAACAAATGACACCTTCACATACTTGCTTTGGTTAAACTCAGGTCTAGACAGTTGGGCGTCAACCATCATGACACATCATTCAAATAAGCTTTTTAAACAAGTCAACATAAATATCAATGACATATTATATGGCAACAATTTATATGAGCTTAAATTGGTAGTGTGGCTGAATAATTGGCTAGATATAGAGTATTACTGTTATTATGACAATTGCCAATATCCAAGTTTAAATTCAAGATTGCAACTGCAATATATACATATATTGATCACTTTGGTTTTGTCGCAGTCTGCCCCCATATTTAATATCGGACAAAAGAAATGCCGTGTTTGGGACGTGGTCTATTCGGACAATTGAGAAGGGTATCCAAAGCAACACTATCTGATTCTGTAAAAGAAAATCTAAATATAATTGTTATTCTATGTCATCATTGAGTATTTGGCTGAATACGCACGAATTCTTAAGAGTCTTAGCTTCAAAAGCAAATATTTGTCAACTGTCGTATATTCCCAAATACTCTGCGCAATAAAAATTTGGAAACTCGTCAAGATTTCCTCCTCAGCCCTCCAAGGAATGCGCATTAAAATATTGATGGAAGGAAGCGTGGTCGGGCGAGCTCAAATGAAGTCTAATTGAAAATAATCGAACCATACTTAACCAGCCAATAAGGGCAAAGCCTGCTACAAATTAAAGGTATCGATCATAGATGATGCGGGTACATCCTGATCGTCAACAAGTTTTCTGTGTTCTGATTGGAATTACCCCAAATCTGAAGCTTATGCATAATATTATACTATTCCTTTTTAGTATGTTGATAAAGGGAGTGAACAATGCATGTAAAATGTCACTATTAGATTTTTTTGATCCATAATTTTTACATGAATGTTCTAGAAAACAGGATAAATAACAAATTTACGGAATATGACAGAAAATCGTTGAAAAAGCTGTGGGCTTGTTGGTGGCTTTCGCTATTCCGATGCACGGCGAATTTGCCATTCACATGAATCGGAGTGTTTGAAACTGACAAACACGCGGTCTTGACTTTAGGGCAATAGACACAAGTAAAGGAGCGAGGTTATTTACACTTCCGAAGATATTATTATTATTGTAAACACACGGATAATATTAACCATTCTTGGATCAAATATTTGCATATTATTTACCTAATTTGATAACATAAAAGTCGAAATGGGTGTGTGAAGAAAATAAACTAGACACGTATACAAGCTATTTTGACACCGCCCTTTATCATTAAATCACTAACACTATTTTAAGAGTGTCTTCTTGAGCAATATTCTCAATATAGTGATGTAAATATTTTCTTGGCTCTTATAACTCCTGACAAAAAGAAGAAAAGAAATCTGTGATTTTGTCCTCTATATCATCACTATCGTTTAGTCAATCAAGCGAAAGAGAAACAAATTAATGTCAGTTAGTGGGGGCAGTTGTTGAAAAAATAAGGATAGGAAGGCCTAGAATGAAACTTGAGTCTACACTAAACTCTCCATATTAAAATCGGAAGGGTGATGCGATTTTTCTTTCATTAGATATAGAATATTTATTTAATATTTAATACTAATTACAACTAGAATGTTCTTTAGGAAATTTGAAGTTGCTTTCTTTGTCAGTAGCTAAAGAACTTAGTAATATTTGTATAACAAAAAAAAACCAAAAACAAATACAAAAACCCTAGCTGAATAGTTTTCTTTGCCAACAGACAACCAAACATTAGAAAGATTAGTATACCATATGATCACCAATGTTCTTCAGATTATCTGGTCACTGAGCAACAGTTACCAACACTGATATTCACAAAAGGGAGAATAAGAAAAAACAACCTTTTTTTTTTCTTCCGTAAAAAAGCAAAGCAGAGACAAAAGCAAAAATCAAAACAAAACATTAGATAGTAATTGCAACCAGAAATTCATATTTCAATGACAGATGTATTAATGAGGTCATTCTTGATTGGTGGAATTGCCGTTGTAAGTCCATCGTTTCTTCTCTTCATCATCTTCCTCATCATCATGAGACAACGTCTTAACATTGTCCCCCCATCGACGTCTACGAGACAAAATAATATATTTCAGCAAAAGCGACCATATATTCCTGTAACAGTTCATTTCGCCTTTCCCTTATTTTCATCTAATACCCACCTCATTTCCACTTCCTCAATAACACGACTACTCTTTGCTACTTCTTCACGTCGCTGCTGTTCTCTCAGCAATCGCGCTTCTTCTTGTTTTTGTCGCTCGCTTATTGCTCCGTCTACTCCATTTGCTCTTCTTCCTCTGCTTGGACTCTCACGCTGAGAATATCTAAATGGGTTTAAATAGCCTACTGCATTCCACACTAGCCCTATGACATTTCTCATGATTCCCCCAACAGCCCTGAAACTGTACTCTAATATTCTCCAAGTATTCCCTGCTGGATCATATGCGCCAACGACAACCTTTGCTGGTTTACATACTAGTGTAGCATTCGGGCAAAGATTAAGGTCGTATAAGGTCAACAGTTTTTCCTCGGCAGTGAATTGATGATATGGAAATGGTTGAATCAGAGAAAATGGTGCTGCCCCGTCTGTTCGATTCTTTTACGGGAAGTGGTTCGCATAAAACAAAAATATTTCATAAAAAAATGTTGAATTAAAGTAAAAAAAAATTTAGAACTGCGTGAAAAATCGAATGGTTCAAAGTTAAAGAGTAAGCAAAACAACAGTAATGGCAGTAAGTATATTGTTTTGATATAGCAACGCGGTTTACATTAAAGTACTATAAAATAAAAAAAAATGATGAAATCAATTGTCCAACCTCTTCAACCCATTTTGTAACATCCAGCAACGTCGTCGACGTGCCAAACTTATTGCGTATTGTATCCCCGTCAAGCAAACGTATATTAAGAACACAATGTTCATAACTAAAAAATCACAAGTATCAACTTGGTCAATGCCTAGGCAACCATACCAACTATAATAACCAACATTTTAAACTCCCAACAAACCTCAACAATCTGTTCTGTTCATCAACATATGTTTTGTGCGATTCCCCTTCTACTCGTTGCTGCTGTTCCTGTCTCGAAGCAATCTCAGCTAATTTTCTCGCATGTCTCTCGACCTTGTCTGCTTCGATTTGTTCCTTCACCCGACGTCTGGCTTCCGCTTCCTCTTTTCGTTGCTTTGCATAATCGGCTGCCGCTTTCTTATCTCTTGCATCTTCTTGGTGAACATACGCTTGCTGCAGCGCGCGACCTTGCGCACGCCGATTGGATTCGCGTTGTTTGTCAGCCTGATGTCATACGACAGAAGATGTATATATATTAATACGTAGTTTATTCGTCTTGAGTGTTTTTTTTTAAGAATGTGAAAGAAAAAGCAAGCAGGCGGTAAAAACAGGTAGCGTTAACTAGGCGTGACACAATGCAGAATTTATTAATCAAACCTCTTGTTTTTCCTTCTCTCTCTGCCGGCGTCGTTCCTCGACTAGTTTTTTTAATCTAGAAATAAGATGTATCAGTATAAACTGTAATAACAATAGATTGCCCTTGAAATAACTTTTTTGTCGCCACTTTCATGACACATACACAATAAAGTTTGCGATTGTGTGCGCTAGGAACTTACTTATCAGCTTTAATCTTTTTCTCGTCTTCTTGATTGGAGCTCTGTCCTTCCGAAGCTATTATGGCTGACGTTGTTTGGTTATCAGATGACGACGGCATTGAGGATGATTCGGCCAGTGATAGCTCTGATGCTGTGCTTGCTGATGACGTGTTCGTGTTCGTGTTCGTGGTCGTGGTCGTAGTCGTAGTCGTAGTCGTATTGGAGGCAGCTTGAGATATCTTCATGACAAGATCGTCTTCTGTAACGATGCCTGGTGTGTAGTCACATACCGTTCCAGAACTAAACGACAAGAAATTAACATTGTACGGAAGATGGTTATGGGAAAAAGAAAGTCCAATGATGCTGACAACAGACGTGACACCTCTTACCGTATCATATATATGCAAGGCACTTGTACAATTGGAACTAAGTCACAAATAAAATTATCGAGTGAGAGATTTAGGAATCAGTAATGTCTTAATTTCAATACAGCAACCTCTCCCTTTAGAATTTTAATACGCACAAAGTTGACCAAACAAATTCGCCTCTTCTGAAACACGAGCGAGCTTCAATGCGATTGTATTATCTTTGATGGCTGCTGCTGCCTTGAGAACAAATATAAAATATACAAGTTTGTTATGTCTATGGTATAAAATTGCCATAACATAAAAGCAATCGTACCTTGGGTCGTGAAGTTATTTCGGTCATGCGCTGACTGTCTTCGCTTTCATCTATAGTGTGCATACCAAAGAATTATTATGAATAAGACTCTTGCGACTATAGGCTCTTTCCAAGAATAGCAAATAACTCGGACCATATATATACACAAGGAACACGGCATTCTTTGAATTCGCTTCCGCCACTGCATCAGAAACTGAACCTGGGTACCAAGGAGAACTAATAGCGGCCATGAGGATGATATACGTATGATAATTGCTTTGCTCTTTGCAATCAAAAGGTTTACTTATTTACTCTTGATTAGTTTCTTCAAAGATATCCAATAACCGGCTCACGTTTTGGACAGTATGATTGCAGGGGTTAGACGCCACATTCTGGAGCTAAATTTTAGTCCTCGTTCAAATATAATGATGATGATTTTGGCTTTTCACCTGTTAAGGCCCAATTGAGTTAGACTGATTTTTTCATTAGCGTAAAGATGATCAGGGGCATGTTACATACCAAAATATTTACCTTTTCGGAGTAGTATAATTTGACAAATAGGTGAAACTTCTGTGAAAAGGAAACATTTTTTCGTTCATACCGAATAAATTCTATGAAATGGGAAATTCCTCACATGACCACGAATACCCAATCAGAGATTTAAAGAACGCGATCTGTGATAGAATTAATTGGGTGATAAATTCTTTATGTAAGTAAAATGGGATATCCACGAATCGTCACCCGTCCACGCTATTAGTTATTTCTGCTATTCATAATCACGAACTATATGGGTTGTTAATATATACGGGGTCAGCCATTCATAGCATTACGCCATTATTTATGGCGACCATTTTTTCATATGAGGGGCCTCATTTCGGAAGTTTTAACTACTACAGTCAACTGCCTTTAAGAATATAACAAGTCTCAATTACATTCAAGCAACTTTATTTTGGTAGAAATATGCAATTACAACAAATTGAGTTACAGGCCTAATGTGCAAAAAAAAGTTTAACTAAGCGAAGCTATTAATATACAGTGTACTGTAGTTTGATTATTAAGACGCTTGACAACAGTCAAGTCTTTTATCGATAACCATAACTATAACGCTTCTTCCAATTTTGTCATTTTGGCCGTCGGTTCCTTAGCCGTTTAGCAGAAATAATATTATTGTTGATATTCATACGTTTTTCCGATTGGACACAATATTTGTAGTTCGTTTTCCTACACAATATTTTCTATCTAGTTTTACATTAGATAAGTGAGGGCTTTTAAGTTTTCGTTGAATTTGGTACAATATTTGACGTTGCATCAGAATTTATAAATAATCAACTAATACAATCATGGAAATAATATTGTAATACTATTTATGCATTCTGGCTTGATAGAAAAATTTAGGCGGTCGAAATCGGAAAAAGAAATCGGGGAGATTATTTGGGGGGTACTGTATTCAGTGGACTGCGGTACCTTCTTCGGCCTCATTTCCATCCGTCCAGGAAACCCACTCTATCAGGCAGCATTTTCTGAAATTATTGCTGATGGTCACTTTGCTGCTACCATGGAACTTCAAATAAATCAATATCTTTCTATAAAAAACGAAATAAAAAACACAAAAAAACTGGGTCTTAGCTGAACGTATCTTGCAAGCTCGCTCATACTTCCAATGCCGCTAATAAACCAACAATTGATATCACACGTGTACATGTGACACATTTTTGGCACATTCCACTGCGTCCGTAAAGTTTCTCAATTTGCTCCTCTGTAAACATGGAGGGTCAACAATGTTGGCACATGACACTATGATAAATGCCAGCTCTCAAAACACAGCACAAACACCTTTACAATTATTGTGTCTAGTAAGTAGGAATTCAGTTTGCAAGGGATCTACCAGGCATGTACTAATACCATACTTTTGTCTTGTAGGTTTGGAAGATCCACATCTGCAGTTAATGTCATTGAGTACAATTGCTGCAAAATTCAAGAACGATTCTTCTTTCAATAACTTGATGATCTCTCATTCTTGGAGAAGCTGAACAGTAAAGAGAGTAGTAGTGTTAAAAAAGCATTTCAATCACATGAAAAAGGCCACCAGAAAATTTATCAGATAAAGCTATGCAAGTTCAATCATGGGTTCACACTTTATATACAAACTTGACAAAGATTTGGGAGCTGACCATTAATCTGGAGACACAACATGATGGTCAAGATAAGAGGGCCAGAATCATAGTGATCACTACCTTGTATTTCCAGGATATTCAGAAGTGTGCTGTTCAAATAGTTCTGCCATCAATTCATTGGCATTCAAAACCAAAGTGGGCTGTCATAATATAATTATATTATGACCACATAGTCTAGGTTATGACCTCTCAGTTAAACTATGTCCATTTGTCACGTGATTATAGGTCCACTCATAGTGACGATTGCATCGTCATGTTTGCATCGTCATGTGCCGAGGATGTGGCAGCTGAGGTGCTGCACATTGCATGTCGGCCGTTTCTTGGATTGTATTGAGTTGACTTTCAACGGTTTCTTGAGAAAGTGTCTGTAGTGATCGATAAATTTTGTCAAACTTCGGTTGTTGTGCGTACAAAAGATAAAATGTTATTTTGAAACCGAAACTTATAGAGTATATTTGATATTGCAAGCTATAGTTACCATTGTGAGATATCAAAAATATCGGAGCAGAGGGAAATGAACAAAGTTAGGGAAAGGGCGGGGGGAATTTGAGTGATTGGAAGAGGAAGAGTTGTCAACAAAAAGATAGCGAAGCAGAGAGAAACAAAAACTGTCCCCAAAAAATTTTCGTACTAAGGATTTTTTATTATTTACCTGGTATCTCATTCAAACCTAGACCATCCTTTTCATAATACAATCAGAAAACATGTCTAATTTCTTTGTTCTTTATAAGTTTTTTTTTTGGCTCATATGACGATGCAAATGCAATCTCATCGTTACTGAGTGGATAATTCTTATAGCGGTTATTTTAGCATTAATTTCTTTGGCTGACGACACAAACGCAATCTTGTCATCACTCGAACAATGACATAAACGCAAACCCGTTGTCGGTTGGCCGTACGGCTGCCAAATTACGATTTTTTCCCAACTATCTCCGCAGTCACGAGCAAACGCAAACTCATGGTCGTCATTACTCGATCAAATAATGATGCAAATGCAAACTCACAAAATTTTTTCTATCTTCATACTACTGCAATAATGACGAATCGCAAACTCGTCGTCACTCGAATGACGACACGAAACAAATGCAAACTCATCGTCACTTCAAACCGAAATTCGAACTATGAGAAGGGACACGCAAAGCGCGTTACAATCTGTATGCATTTATTGATTATGTAATATTGTTTTAATTATGATTATTGAACCAAATGCACTGTTCTTTATTACTTTAGAGATCAACGATCTCTTTCAAGATTACTAAATTTCCACATTAATGAAGCCAACGTCCGTATCGAATCGTTGCCGAATTTACAAAACAAAATGCCGCAAGGGTTTCCCACAACCGTAAGCCAACTTTGCAGATTACACGGTTTGTATCTTGCTGCGTACCTAATCGTTTCTTTTCTTTCATAAAAATTTTAATAGAGAATAATTTATACGATATAAAGGAGATGCTATAGACACTTTCTTAACCTTCTACTGTTTGCAAACCAATGAAACAGTTGAAGAACGACGTACTCGTTTAGCACGATACTTGAAATTGTATTATTCTAAGAGTACTCGAAGTTAAAAAGGTCATAGAAGAGGTTTCAATTAATGTTATCTCTATATATTAGAAATTACAAAAATTTTTATTAAAATAAGCATTAATAGTAATATCAATGTCAACCACAATTTATACCGTCTTAGACAAAATTATAAAGTTTTCCTATCGCTATTTATAGTATTCATCTGTCATAAAAGTTCCGATGACCATTTGTATGGGCATCCCATAAAAGGAGGAGGAGTTATAAGAGATCTGTCAATTAAATTAAAATAGGTATTAGTAATTACATTGTTTTGCCCCTTCCCTTTATTGTAATCACAGTAGGGACCCTATCATATCCACATTTACTCAGACAACATGGCTTTTCAAAACATACCGGCTTATTTACGTGTTCACTTGTAATTAAGTTTGATATCTATAGGTTTATTTTTATCACTTCTGTCAGTTTTTTGATTTTTTTCCTCTGTAATGCGTAAAAAATACCACATTAATCCTATAGCACCTTAATCAATTACCAATATCAATATAATCTCAATATATGTAACATGCCAACACAAAAAATACAGGCATATTCAAAATTAGGCAGAAATGTGTCGTTTAAGATTAAAAAATATTAACGTATCTCAATATATGTAAAATTTCAACCAGGAACGTTTTCAAAATTAGACAAAATGTGTCATATTGAATTAATAAATCAAGAATTTAGAAAGCGTCTATTTCTTTACCGTATCAATTAAGCCGGTTAAACGGTTTTTGTAAATTCGGAAACGATTCGAGACGGTCGTTGGCTTCATTAATGTGGAAATTTAGTAATCTTGAAAGAGATTGTTGATCTCTAAAGTAATAAAGAACAGTGCATTTGGTTCAATAATTATAATCAAAACAATATTACGTGATCAATAAATACATACAGAGTTTGTAACGCGTTTTGCGTGTCCCTTCTCATAGTTCGAATTTCGGTTTGAACTGTTCCTAAGGTTCTTTGCATGTCGGTGAGTGTTGCTTGGACTGTATTCCAACGTTAATCGCTGGTAAATTTGGCACTAGAGACATTTCTTGGAAAAGTGTTTGTAGTGATCGATAAATGTTGTCAAAGTTCGGTTGTTGTGCCTACAAAAGATAAAATATTAGTTTGAAACCGAAACTCATAAAGTACGTGGGGGTCCTGAAAAGTTTTGCGCGTGGACATTTATTTCCAAAACTGTTGTAATAATTATCGATAAAACTACCTCATTCCTTCAAAGTACTCTCCATTAAACTCTATACAACGTTCTAGCCGATTTCGCTAACTTTGAAAAAAGTTCTTTTGGGATACTTCAACAACTGCCTGAACAGCCCTTGCCAATTTTCGACGTTATCAAATCTCTTTCCCTTTAGTTCTTTCTTTATTCGAGAGAATAAGCAAAAATTACAAGGAGCAAGATCTGGACTGTATGGTGGGTGGGGAAGAAGTTTTATATTCTTGCCTTATGTGCTGTGGCATTATCGTGATAAAGCATGACGTCACGAACAGTCCTTTTTTCCATAATGTCC